ACTAGACATCAAGCAATTGATGATTGAGCCCAATGATCCAATCAGTTTTCTATCCACCTTCCAGTCCATTCATCCAGTCCTTACTCCCTTAACTTGCTTGTGAGAATGTTGTGGGAGACGATACAAAAGCCTTGCTGAAGTCAAGGTATATCACGTCCACTGCCCTCCCCACAACCACAGAGCCAGTCATCTCGTCATAGAAGGTGATCAAGTTGGTCAAGCATGACTTGCCCTTGGTGAATGCATATTGACTGTTCCTAATGACCACCTTTTTTCTCCAAGTACTTAGAAATGGATTCCTTGAGGACCTCCTTCATCACTTTTCCAGGGACTGAGATGAGGCTGACCGGTTGGTCTGTAGTTCCCTGTATCCTCCTTCTTCTCTTCTTTAAAGATAGGCACTATATTTGCCCTTTGCCAGTCATCCAGGACCTCTCCTAATTGCCACGAGTTTTCTAAGATAACGGCCAGCAACTCTGCAATCACATCAGCCAACTACCTTAGCACCCTTGAGTGCAGTGTTTCTGGCCGCATGGACTTGTACACATTCAGCTTTTCTGAATAGTCTGTAACCTGTTCTTTTGCCACTGGTGGCTGTTCATCTCCTCCCCAAACTGTGCTACCAGTTGCAGTAGTCTGGGAGCTGACCTTGCCTGTGAAAACTGAGATAAAACTGAGTACTCTTATATGCCTCTGTAGTTATTTGTCCAAGTTTCCACTTCTTGTAAGCTTCCTTGTGTTTAGCTCATTAAAGAGGTCCCTGCTTATCCAAGATGGTCTTCTACCATATTTGCTAGTCTTCTTACACATCAGGATGGTTTGTTTCTGCATGATCAGTAAGGTTTCTATAAAATACAGCCAGCTTCCTGGACTCCTTTCCCCCTCAGACTGGGTTCCCAGGGGATCCTGCCCATGAGTTGTCTGAATGAGTCGAAGTCTGCTTTTCTGAAGTCCAGGTCCTTACTCTGCTGCTCTCTTTCCTTCCTTTCCTCAGGATCCCAATTTCAACCACCTCGTAGTTGCTGCTGCCCAAGTTGCCATCCACTACTGTGTTCCCCATCAATTCTTCCCTGTTTGTGAGCAGCAGGTCAAGAAGAGCACAGTCCTTATGACAATGGGATAGCTCACGTGACTGGATTACTAAATCTCTATTATTCCAGGACTCTGCAAGAACTTCCAATTCTTCCTGCTTGTTTCCCAGGCTCCGTGCATTCATGTACAGACACCTGAGGTAACTAGCCAATTGCCCTAATTTCTCAGGAAGAATGAGAAGGCCTCTCCTGCTTGCGCTTCCTCCAGATTACCCCGCGTGCCCACTTGCCTCAGGGCTTTGGTATCCATCCCCTGGCTAACATAGTTTTAAAGCCTTCCTCTCTATGTTAGTAAACCTGTGTGCAAAGCTGCTTTTCCCTTCCTCATCAGACGGATCCAGGCTCTTCCTAGCACTCCTTCTTGGAATAACATCTCATGATTGAAAAAGCCAAAGGTCTGCTGGTAACACCATCTGTGCAACCATGCATTGATTTGCAGGATACATCTGCCCAGGCCCTCCCCTTTTGACTAGAAGGATTAAAAACGCCACCTGGGCACCTGCCCCTTCACTTGTGCACCCAGAGCCCTGTAGTCATTTTTGATCTACTTAAGTTCACCCCTGGCAGTATCATTAATGCCCACAAGGATGAGCAGCATGGGGTAGTAGTCAGTAGGCTGGATGAATCTTGGTAATTCTTCTATGACATCTTGGATCTGGGATGCAGGCAAGCAGTAGACCTCCTGAGACAACAGGTCAGGCTGGCAGACGGATGCCCTCATCCCCTGCAGAAAGAAGTCTCCAACCACCACCACCCATCACTTCCTTTTGGTGGCAGTGGTCTCAATCCACCCCACTTTGGGTATGCCTGGTCTGGCTGCCTCCACCGATGGAACGTGCTCCTCCTCCTCTGTTGGTAAGGCTCCATATCTATTCTCCAGACAAACTGCTGTAGGTGGAAATAGAGACTTCCACTTGCTGCCAGAAGTTATAAGCTTCCACCGTCCTCTTCCATGTACTTCTCTGGCAGTTCTTCCTCCACAGTCCTAGAGATCTCCTCCAGCACTGAACTGATGAAGTCTTCATGGTGGAGGATCTTTGGAGCCTGGCATCTCCTCCTATGGCTCCCTTGCTTGCTCTCTGAGATGCTCCCACTGAAGTGCTTGCAAACTGCCCCTGTTCACTCACTTGCTCTAGATAGCTTTTGGAGGACTCTTCCAGCCCTACTTCTCCGATTCTATGATTTCATACTGCTTTTTCTCAGATATTCAGCAATTCCATTCAAGTCTCCTTCCTTCAGTTTCAAACATCCCGCTCATTAGATTCCATTCCCTGCTTTGGCAGCATCCCTCCATCACCAGTCCCTCCTCTCTGGAGTCAGCCTACAGTTATGTGATAATTTCCTAGGTTGAGAATAAGCTGTACAGCTGTTAATCCTAAATGTTTTATCTGTTCCTTCCTACTCTTTTTCCATCCCAAACCACTTATCTGAGATAGCCAGAAAGATCATTGATATATGCTGTCAGACTATAATAAACACCTCTTGTTTGCTTCTTAAATACCTTCATGAATCTGTCTCAGTGTTCTAGGTTAAACATCAGATCACTTCAGACAATTATAGGCTGTCTATATTACCAGAATCCAGTGAAGAATTGTTCGGTCGCAGCTGTCTTTTAATTTTATTTTTTTTAACTAAAATGGAAGACTCTTTCCAAGAGCAAAGTTATGGCATTTTTAACAAGCTAGAATGTAATGTATCCCAAATAATAATGTTTTTGGGATGTCAAGTTCAGATGTCAACTTTGGAAAAAAAGTTTGTGGGTGTTGGAAGTTGAGGGGGGTTCGTTTGGGGCCAACTTCATCTAAAGACTTAGGGTTTCTTGTGGCATTGCGGAAGAAGGTCATATTTCTAAGGAAGTGCAGCTAAAATATTCATCACAGGGTTTTTCAGCGACCAGCGGACTCCAGAAAATGAGTCTGTTGCTATTGTGGAATCAAAGCAGTCCATCTCTTTTGTTTGCAACCAAAGTTTGGAAGGCAAAACTAGTTTTTCAATATTAAGGGGGTGGATATGTAAAAACACTTGAGGGCAGTTTAAATATTTGCCTTGCCTACTATGGTATTGTCCTTTTGATTCTATGTTTTTGCACATTTGCAGGGTAGGGGAGATAAATCTCACATGTCACTTTTTCCACTTGGGTTTATGAAAGAAAACAACATAAAATGGTGCATTGGAAAGTGCAGTATTCAGTAGATTAATATTAGTTAATGTTTTTGAAGTGGCCCCTTATTTATTGAGCAGGTAGCCTGTACAATACCTATTTTAACATAGAGTGCTATGACATGCATGTTCTAGCATATTTTTCTTCGATCTAGTCAATCCACTTTATGTACAATCCACTGGGGTGTGCACAGCAGCAGGAGCCCCCCACAACCCTGGATAAGCCTTCTGGGCTCCAACTGTCCCACCATCCGACCCTGCCCCTTCCTGTGCCCCACTCCCTCCCTCACTGTGGGGCCCTCAATCTACCCACCCCATGCCACTTCCCCCTCCCCTCCCCCCTTCCCGCACAGACTTACCTGCTGGGGCAGGTGTGGAGTGCATGTGTGCGCGTATGCACGCATATGCTTGGCTCTCCCCAAATAATTTTTTTTCCTTCATCTATGGTTGCCACATGCTGAACAGGGAAAGGGGCTGCAGCCACTCACATGGAGTGTGGAGGAAGGGGAGTGATTGGTGGGGGTGGCTGCAGGGTAGAGTGACAGCTGGGAAATAAAAGGGGCTGCAAGGGAGTGTGTGTGTGTGTGTGTGTGTGTTTCTTGAAGGGCACAGCTATGGCTTTACATTAATTAACCTCAGTTCATGGGTGAGTTCATGACCAACCTAGTCCACATCTGAGCCAGCAGGGCCAGATAGCTACAGTATCTACGCAACATGACCACCACATTGTTTACCATACACATGCATAATATTTGAAAGTATACTGCATTCATTCTGTGTACCCCTTATGACCTTTTAAAGTACCCCTAGGGGTATGGGTACCCCCGGTTGATAACGACTGACGTATGTCATTTCAAACTGGGCACCCAAAATCAGTAGTTATTTTAAATATTCTTAGCAAAAAACATCTTGTTTGTGCAGTATGGTTTTCTTTCTTTCAGTTGCACCTCTTTCCTGTGGAAGAGTAACAGAAATACTTATCTGAATTTGTATTTCAATAGCTGGAATGTTTAAATAAGTATTTAAAAAGGCATCAGTCTACTTTGACATTTGCCATTCCTGGGTAACTTTAAGTAGCTTGTGATTACTCATCTATCTATGTTTTACTCTGTGGTAATAGACACTTGATACTGTTCAGAATGACTGCAAAGATGTAATCTGGCCCACCTTTCTCTATGATTTTGATGTGTGCAGTACAGAGAGTACCGTTAAAGAGACAGCATAAGTTTAGAATGGGCTGTATGTAGTACTGCATATTTCCATTGTGACCTGGTGGTGGTGGAGTAAGGATTATAAATGGAGCTTTATTGGTTGTCTGTCATCCTTGACAAATGGCAGCTTAAAAGAGGCACGCAGACTAGAAGGTAAATAAGAATGTTTGAGGAAACAAATTGAGTTAGATGATTTTTGTTTAAGTCAGTTAAATTTACTGAGAATGGGTTTTATAAGTAGCAAGCTACTTACAACTTTGATGAATCATGAAGGCAAATTATAGTTACAAGAAGGGGAATGATGCTGGTGTATTTGACTATAGAGAATGAAGTATTAGAAGTGCTAAGGCTTTCCATTGTTATAGCTCACTAGTGCCCTCTTTTGGTCAATAGTGGCACCTTGCATTTTGGGATTTGTGAATATTGGCCATGCAGTGATCTCATCACTATTTACTTGTGGGTACAGATTGAATGAAGAATTTTAGTGATTTGACCTCTGTATTCTATCTCTTACTCATTGGTTTTGGGTTTATTTTAGGCCAAAGAACTGCCGACATTCAAAGACAATGATTTTATTAATGATGGTCAAAAGATTCATATTGATGAAAACAACAAAAAGATGTTCCTTGAAAAGCTCAAAAAGGATGTTGAGGTAAGGCTGATCTGCTCAGTTCTGTATCACTTGCCACATTGTGCAGCAAATTACAATTACCCCAGTAAGTTGCAAGTGCAGCCGCTGTACAAGAGTATTGATAGCTCAAATCATGAACTAATGTTGAATGTATTGGGTAAAAACATTACTTCTTAAATAAAATGCAGTTTAACTTTAAGGAACTCCTTTTTGCTGCTTTGGCTGACTTGATAAGGATCCCTGGTGTCATGTCTGGTTGTCCAACATTGCCCTGTCTTGATATAATGGTAGTATGATAATGATGATGCTACCACTTACCACTTAATTCTTTACAAGCATTAAATAACATAATACTCCTGAAAGGGAGGTGATAATTGTTATTCAATATACAGCAAAATTGCAGCTTGCCCAAGTCCTTCTGTTATGTCAATAGCAAAGAATACAGGTCTTCTCATTCCTGTTCTTATTTCCTGTTAGTGTCATTCCTTCTATTAATATCAGTGTTGTTCTGCACCATCCTGTAGTAGTATGGGTATGTCATGTGCTTGCATACAACACTTCTACTCACTATTTTAATCCTGTGCTCATTTTACAGTAATAAAATATTGGGCATCATTAAGAAGGGAATTGAAAACAAAACAGAAAATATGGTGTCACTATACAAATCTGTGGTGTGCCCCATCTTCAGTACTGTGCACACAGGTCTGGTCTCCAAAACTCCAAAAAGCAAGTAATAGAATTAGAAAAGGTATAGAGAAGGACATCCAAGATGATTATGGGTATGGAGCAGCTGCTATATCAGGAGAAACTAAAATGGCTAGGACTCTTAAGTTTGGAAAGGAGAAAGCTGACGGGATATGATAGAGGTCTGTAAAATCATGACGGATGTTGGCAAAGTAAATAAAGAACTGCCATTCACCAAGTCCCAGAACACTAGAACTAGGGGGCACCCACTGAAAGTAGCAGAAGACAGTATTAAAAATAAGAGAGAGAGTACTTTTTTACATAGCATAGAGTTAACTTGTGGAGCTCATTGCCACAGGAGATTGTAGAGGTAGATAATATTGCTAGGTTCAAAAAGGGACTAGACCAGATATAGGCAAACACCGCTACATGTGCCAGAGCGTGGCCCACAAAGGCGTTTTCCTTGGCATGTGTGCCTCAGGGATGGGACTGAGGCTGTGCTGCCACAAAATTGGGCCCCTCCCAGCTCCACTGCCATCCATCCCTGGCACACCAACATCTTACAAGTCAAAGTTGTAGGTGTTTTTGGCACTACCCAAAAAAGAATGCTGACACCTGGACTAGAGAAATTAATGGATGATGGATCTATTAATAGTTATTAACTATTCCCATTTAGCAGAGACCCCTGGATTTCCTCCTTTTGCAAAGAGCTCTGCAGGCTGGCTGAGTTCTTGATGTGGGTGGCTTATGGCTGCAGATGAATTGGCTTGGGGGAAAATCGCTACATTTGCATTGGAAAGACAATTCCTTGCTGATTTTTGTGAGAACAGGTTTGTTGTCTGAGGGAGGGAAGTGAGAGAAGGGAATTGAATAGAGCGCTGGAGGGCAACACACCAGTGCCAGTGGAGGCAGGCAGCCTGCAAAAGGGGTGAGAAACCCCCCACCTGTTGAGAGGGGGAAGGGCAGGTCCTGAGCGACTCAGACAGCCAAGGTTGGGCTCAGGCTCACTCACCTGGAGTCTAAGGTAAGTGGGGCTTGGGGGTTGCGGGGCAGGGTTGGGGGAGAAGCTGGCTGAGGAGGTGTTGGAGAAAAACATGGAGTGACTGCCACATGTGAGCCCCCCACTGCTTACTGGTCGGCTGGCTGGGAGATGCACAGCCACCACCGCGGCCCACAGAGGGGCACCACTGCCCTCACCCCCAGCCCTGGTCCTGGGAGCGGGCATAGAGACACCCGCCTCTCAATCTGGCCCCTTCCCTTCCCCCCGCCCCACCCCATCCCTTCCCCCCCAAACCCACTTACCTGCTGGGATCTGTGTCTGTCTGTGCCTGTGGCTGGGGAGCTGTTGCGAGGGGAGTGAGGGGCACCAGCGAGGCTTTTGGGGTCTTTAATTTTTTCACGGATTTTGGATCTTTTATCAGAGAATTTACAATTTTTTTATCAGGGAAAACTAGGATTCCTGGTTATTAAACAGAGCAGCCAAGGGTGTATCCTCTGACACCTCCAAACCAATGATAGTGGATATCAAGTGCAAGGGGATGAATTATCCTAGATGTGCCCTTTACATATACCCTGTCTCTAAAGCATGCACTCCTGCCACTGTCAGGTAGATTACTGGACTAAACAGACCAGTGGTCTGACCCTGACTTAGTATGCCGCTACTTATGTTCTTAGATGTTTGTACTATACTCAACAGACAGTCGGTGTTCAATGTAAAAATATTGTTTTCATAGTTTCATAGCTCTTGGGGGCTGAAAGGGACTTTACAGATCATCAAGTCCAGCCCCCCTGCACTTGGGGAGGAAAGACCACTTGATGTGCTGTACGTAATATTAAAAACTGATTTGACTCAGAGTAAAACAATTTTATCATAGAAGCCTATTTAGTAAATAAAGCTAAGAGGTTTTAGTCACTGAAACAAGGAAATTGAATTCAGTTAGGAAATATTCATACAACTGGTTTTGATGCTATAGAAATAATCCCAGATTTTGCCAAAAAATGTTTCCACTAGCCGTGTAGCCCAGGAAAGGCTTAAAATAATTCTCCACCTTTTGAATAGAATTGATATCAACATGGCTATTTGGTTTAACAGGCCATCAGCTTCTTATATTGAAACATCATTATGCACAGACATAATTGACTGATCTTAGCACAGTCGTGAGATTTGCATTTGATGGTTTAGATGCTGCAAAGCACAGACTATTGTGTCTTAGTGGGATTTACAGAATGGTCTATTGCTTTAAGTAGGTTAATTTCTCATCAGTGGAATGAGTGGTGGATTATGAATATGTATGTGTTACATAAACACATGAATACGTTGTATAAAATATATTAAGCTAAAAGATTTGTTCTCCAGTTCTAGAAGCTTTAGGATGGGTGAAGTTTTGGGTTTATATGCCTGAGCCTTTCTCAAAGCATGTAACATTTTTACTGACTAAACCTTTTACAGTAATTTAGGGTGTAAAGAAGATTTTAAGAAATGCAATGAATACAGTAGATATTTTATCTCCAAAACACGGATTGTATGTTGTCTTCTGCTTATCGTCACTCACTGTGTTTTTAAATATGAGGGCAAATTTTATAATGCCAGTTTTATAATCCCATTCTGAGTGGCTTCCTTAGTACTGACAGTTGAAATGTATGCAGCAGCAGCATTTAACTTAGATGCAGATGCAGACCACTATGGTAAATAATTGCAGACCAAAATCTAGACTTTTTTTAATCAATTAACTGCTCAATCTGAACAAGAACAGAATGAGCTGACTTGCCCAAAGTATGAGTATCTTTTATCTAGTGCATAAACACTCAGTTTTAAGTATATATTAAACAAATGTAAAACACTTAAAAAATCATTATTTCATTACACAGTATTTATAGCTAAATGCACTCTAAACCAACTCTATTGCCACTGGTGTGTTGCCTTCCAGCGCTCTCTTCAGTTCCCTTCTCTCACTTCCCACCCTGTCAGATGACAAACCTGTCCTCACAAAAATCAGCAAGGAATTGTCTTTCCATTGCAAATGTGGTGATCTTTCCCCAAGCCAATTCATCTGCAGCCATAAGCCACCAACTTCAAGAACCATTTCTTCCTTGAGTTTCCTCAATGTTGTTCTTTACTGGCTGTTTTCAGCCATATCATTGGTAGATCTTCCCTCTGCCTTCCTTTAGTTAAGTTCTTCAAAGATCTGCTTGGGTACTCTCATTTCCCCCTCAACTACACCTGCCATCTGGCCAACATTGACCACTTCTGTGGAACCTCATCACTTCTGTATTAATAACACCTAAGTCTAGCTCTCCAACCCTTCTTCAGGCTCACTTCTTATTTGGTCCCTGCCATTAGGTCTTTCACTTCCTTAAGCTAAAAGTGGTTAAAACTACTCAGACAGGAATCTTTGGGTAAATCCAATATCTTTTATTAGATCAACTAAAATAGTTGGACATTTTTTTCTCTGCAAGCTTGCGGGTACAAACACCCTTCATCAGGCTGAGGAACTGTAAAACTACTCTTCGTTTTTCTTCTTAAACTCTTGCTCTGCTCCATCAACATTGGGAGGGCAAGAGTGTTGTGTTGTGTTGTGTTGTGTTGTATGTTATTCCCCAGCACTTGAGTTCTATTTGATTCCTCCTTTTCCTTCTCACCTTGCATACAGGATCTTGATAAATCTTATAATTTGTTCCTTTGCAACACTTCTGGAAGCAGCTCTTTCATCTCTCTCTCTGTCTCTCCTGTCAAAATCTAATTGCAAGCCATACTTCCCTTCCTCTTGGATGGCTATAGTCACCTTCACTGGCTTTCCAGATTACCACCCACAGCAAAAATTATCACCTCTTCGCTATCACTCTACTGGTGTCACCCCTACTTGCTCCATAGTTTTTCTACATAATCTTTATTCCTCTGCTTTGCTTTCAAACTACAGCACACCTCTGTCCTACTACTCCTTATCGTCATTCACTCTCTGCACTCCCTAGTTTCTGTTCATTTTCCTTGCCTTTTTGTTCCCTTTGTCTCCATCTCCCTCTCTGACCTTTGTGTCTGCTCCCCATTAGGGTTGTGAACAGTTAAATGTCTAACTGATAAGCCCAGTGATAACCAGTTATAGCTTACTGGTTATTGTTTAGCATGGGGTGGGGGGCAGTCCAGAAGGGAAGCGGGGGTGGGGGGAAGCCATGTGGTGCCCCAGCAGGAACCAGAAGGTGGCAGGGCAGGGGAGGGGAAAGAGAGGATTAACACCTATGGCTAGGCTTTGCAGACGCCAGTGCAGCCTCTTGCAGTCTCCCTGCCACCAGCAGCCCAGGCTCTGGGCAGGCCCCCTGCCCCCCGCCACAGAGCCTGGGTTGTTCAAGGCAGGCAATGGGGATGATACAAGTGACTGTACCAGGGTCCACAGAGGTTAGCTATTAGGTCAGAGGTGAGCAATTATTTGGACCCGAGGGCCACTTAGGGAGTTTTGATGAGCTGCTGCAGGCCTGGTCATAACCCCCACTCCCCTTCCTGTGTGCTCCCTCCCCCCGACAACAGCTCACCAAAACTCCCTAAGGGTTAGTATTGAAGGGCAGTGACAGCACAGAGCTGAGGCCCAGGGCACAGCCGCAATCCACTGCCCGCATGTCACCCTAAGTGGCTCTCCTCCACTCTGGCCCAGGAGCTGGAATGGAGCCACCGGCAGGCAGGGAGTGGCATCTGGGAATGGAGTGAGTGGGCACGACCACGATTATGGGGTTGACAGTGCAGGACTGGGGCCAGGGGGCAGAGCCTCAGTATGTTCCCCGCGCCTGTGACAGGCACCATGGGCAAACGTGTGCAGGGAATGTATTGTGGCGTGGCTCAGCCCCGGCCCCTGTCCCTATGTTATCACCATCCCGGGTCTCCATGGAGACTAGCTGGGACCCGTGTGTGCAGGGTGTGCAGCTGGGCAGACAGGATGAGGCCACGAGTGGGACGAGCAGGCACGGCTGGGACCAGGATCTTGGGCCGGTGACAGCATAGGGCCAGGGCCCAAAGCAGAGCCTGCATGTCCTAACCAGTGCCTGTCCCACTGACATGCAGGCAGTGGATCGCAGCTGTGCCCTGGGCCTCAGCCCTATGCTATCACTGCCCTTCAATACCAGCCCTAGCTCTGCCTGCCTGTCCTACTCCCTGCTAGCCTGCAACCCCATACCATCTGCCTTTCCATGTGAGCCCAGCCCCCAGCAGTGGGTGCAGGGCAGATGGGCTGGGGTGTACAGGCAGCAGAGCCAGGTCCAGAAGCTCCAGCAGCCAGAAGGAGCTGCCACTGGGACTGCCAGAAAGTGAGTCTAGCAGCTGCACCATCCCAGCCCTGCTGCATGCCCGAGGCAACGGGACTGACTGCATGCGCCACAGCCCAAGCTACCTCATGTTCCTGGGCTGGGCTAGGCAGGGCTCAGGGATCCACTGTAGGCTGGACAAGATCCCTTGGTACACCAGATCTGGCCCATGGGCCTTATTTTGCTCACCCTTATATTAGGAACAGGGCAGTGGCCATGAAGAAAGAATGATTCTAGTCATGTACTATAGCAAAATGTAGATCCAAAAGCAGTGGTGTATATCGATGGTGCTCAAACTTTTCTCTTTCCTCTTGCAGGCCACATAGACAGTGCCCTGTCTGCCCACAGGTCAGATATGGACAGGAGTCCCCATCTGGCACTCAGGGTGGGCATAGTGGGTTCCATTTGACTACAGGGAGGGGGATGGCAGGCATCCTGGCCCCAAACTGGCTCCTCAGAGGAAGTGGGGCAATCGCTTGGTCCTGTGGAGAAGCAGAGTGTGTCCCAGGCTCAACCCAGCCCCATGTGGGGGGAGAAGGGCCCTGGCTTGGCCTGGCCCTGTAGAGGGCTAGGGGGCATGGCTTGGCCCTGCAGGGGAAAGAAGGGAATGTGGCCTGATCCTCTGGAGGTAAGGGGGCGTAGTGGGCCATGTGGGGCCTGAGGTTTGGGAATATGGTGTGGCAGGGAGGGTAGCTATATTAATGGTCACTGCTCCTCCAATACCAAATTTCCTGACCCTGGGGCAGCCCCATGGGCTGGATGCCAAGGTTCCATGGGCTACATTTAGCTCATGGGCTCGAGGTTGAGCAACCCTGGTTTATGTTTTACATTTTAATGGATCCAGTATTTGAAACCATTTTCTCCCTCTCCTTTTCACTCTTCTTGAGCTCAGCTTGAAGTCCAGAGGGAAAAAAGAATTATGGTTGTGTGTCAGGCCTTAACAAACTAGTCTGTGAAACAAACACAGTAGATAACATGGTCATAATCAGGCTGCTGCACAGGAGGCAAAATGCCCAGCTAACACATGGAGCCTTACTCTTTACAAGAGAAAATAAGATTCTCTTAAAGATGTTCATCATTAGTAGACCAGGGTGGTAAAATATAGGTTACAACAGGAGGTACTCAACCTCTGAGCTGCTAGTGTGATTAGTAAAACTGAGATGAGTTCTGCTGATAGCCTCTCCAGCTGGATAATTGCATGTTTCCCCAAAAAGTAATCTCATATGTTTCTAAAGACTTGCAGTTCCAACAGGCTGAAGAGAAACTTGACACTCATGTAATTGTGAGTACTATGAGAGACTACAGCAGAACGTAGCATAGACCCTAGCACTGTGCCAGTTACCCCAACAGGACTCTGCTTGTGCTTCTTAAATATTAATCTGACTCCTGTGACTTGGACCTCTGTTGAACCTCTGGCGTTTATAAAATGTAGTGGGTTTGTATGAACAATTGCAAGTAGAACCATTGGAGGCCAAATTCACAAGTATACATGTACACACGTGCACATATGCAAGCATATGCGTGCATCCTCACCCATGTGCTTTCCCCCGATCCTTATAAAGATGATAAAAGTAGTGCATTTTCCACAGGCCTAGAGATAAGCATGGTGAGTTCTACATAGCAAAATAATAAAGTGCATTTAAAATGGATGCCATCAGCTACTTCAACTGTCTCATCACCAGGGATTCTGATTTTCCCTGATAAAAAATACCAAATTCTCTGCTAAAAAATCATATATTCTCTGCTAAAAAAACCCAAATCCATGATTAAAACTAAAGGCCCCTCCATAGCCCTGCTGGTGCCCCTTGCCCCCCACCCACAGACCCTGCTTCCCCAGCCCTGCCAGAGGGGGCTCCTAGCTGTCAGGGCTACGGACCCAGATCAGCAGCCCCCCGCCCGCACTCCCCCCCTTCTGCGACCTCGGGCAGGACAGCTCCCTGTTGCTGCATGCACTCCCAGGGGACAGGAAGACCCGTGCCACCCAGATCTGTACCGAGGGCAGGAGTAGGCTGAGGCTGCTGCCCAGCTAGATGAGACTTGGGGCCTGGGGCGGCAATGCGTGGCTGCAGTGCCCGAGTGGGAAGCAGGACAGGGCCGTGGGTGGCTCCTTCGGGGTAGGGGGAGAGGGGGAGGGTCAGTTCCCTGCTGCCACACACACTCTCCAGGGAGCAGGGGGGACCCGCGACCCCCAGATCTGTACATGGGGCAGGTGTAGGCTGTGGGCTCAGGCTCCTGCCCTGCTTCTGTTCCCCAGAGCCTGGCTGGTACGTCCTGGCACGGCAGGAAAGAGCAGAGCTAGCTGCCGGGGACCTCCTTGCCTCTGCTCGCCCCTGGCCCCCTCGGGCCCTAGCGACGTGCCTCCAGCACTTGCTGCTGCGGGTGAGGGAGCACATTGCTGCGTGTGGTGGGGAGGCAGCAGCCAGGCTGTGTGTGGCGAGGGCCACTGGAGCAGTGGTGGCATGGGGCATACTTGGCCACAGCTAAAGCTGGAGCTAGGATCGGCTGTGCGTGGCCGAGAGGAGCCTGGGGGGCGTGACCCGGTGCAGCTGGCAGCAGCGAAGCTGCCCCAGATCTCCTGGCCACTGCTTCTCCCCCCCCAACCGTTGCCCTGGCAACATGCCTGCAGTGCCTACCACTGATTTGAGGGGCACAGCCCTGCACTGCTGCCCTCACTGCAGCCCCGTGCACAAGAGGCACATCACCAGGGGAGTGGGGGAAGCAGCGGCAAGGAGGTCTCCGGCGGCTCCACTGCTACCTGCTGCACTGGGTTGTGCCCCGTGGGCACCAGAGGCCCCAGGGGAGGGAAGTAGGGTGGCAGGGAACAGCATTGAGGAGGGGGTCTGTTGTTCCCTGCTGCCCTGCTTCCCTCCCCTGTGACCTGGCGCGGCAGGTAGCAGAGGAGCCATGCAGAAAACCTCACTACCACTTCTTGCCACCCTGCTGCCCTGGCAATGCACCTCCTATGCACAGCAGCATGGGGCTGTGCCTTTCAGAGCAGTGACAGACAATGGAGGCACATCACCGGAGCAGCGGGGAGGCTGAGCAGTGGCAAGATCCCCGCATGGCACTGCTGTCCCCAGCTGCACCGGGTTGCATCTGCTAGGCTCCGGAGGCGGGAAGCAGGGAGCAGCAGAGCCCCTGTTCTCTGCTGGCCTGATTCCCTCCCCTGGGGCCTCCCCAGCCTTGTGGGCCTGTGCGGGGATCTCACCACTGCAGCATTCCCCACCCCACACTGTCCCAGCAACACACCTCCTGCACCTGCCCCTGCTTTGAGGGATGCAGCTGCCCTCACTGCAGCCCTGCGTGCAAGAGGTGCGTCTCCAGGGCAACACGGGGTAAGGAGATCTCCTGCAGCTCCGGTGCCCCTTGCCACGCCGGGTTGTGGGGGACAGATGTTTGCAGCTGTTCCCTGCAGCCCCTTAGCCCCCACTTACCACCCAGCTTCCCCCTCAGCCTTGCCCTGCAACCCCCCAGCCCCCATTTACCACCACACAGGCTCCAGGAGCAAAGAGTAAGCCTGAAGCAAGCCCTGGGAGAGTGAGCGCCTCAGGCCCTGCCCTTCTCCCTCCCCCTCCAGGCTGGACTGGGGGTTTCCTGCCCCTTTTGCAAACAGTTCTTGCAGGCTGGAACTCTGCTCTTTGCAAAAGCGGGAAATCTATGGGTTTCTCTGCTAAAAGGGGAAATCAGTGGTTTTCTCCGTTTTTCTGTGGGAAACGGAAAATCCGGATTCCTGCTCATCACGCACCTTGGGTTGTCTTCTCTGTACATTAGTCCTAAAGATTTTTTTCAAACTATCTTAAACCATCATCCCACCCACCCCCTTATGGAGTTTCTGTTTTCTTAACAGACATTCATCTTTTATTTTCCCATATTCATAGGCAGATTTTAAACTTTTCAGTGACATTGTCATCTTGCTTTTTCTTGCCCTCTAGTTTCTTGCCCAGTTAAAACTCATGGACTACAGCTTGCTGGTTGGAATTCATGATGTTGAGAGAGCTGAACAGGAAGAAGTAGAGTGTGAGGAGAATGATGGAGAAGATGAAGGGGAAAGTGATGGAGCCCACCCAATTGGAACACCTCCAGACAGTCCAGGAAACACACTGAACAGCTCTCCGCCTTTGCCTCCAGGAGAATTTGATCCAAACATTGATGTTTATGGAATAAAAGCCCACGAAAGTGAGTAGTATTGCTATAAATATTTTTTATGTATAAGATGTTTTGATTTTTTTTGTATCAAAATCTCAAAGCTCGTATAATTACAAAAAGGTAAAGTTGTATTGAAGAATATAATTTATGCTGTAAAAAAGGAAATAAGTTGATTTTTGGTGCAGCAGGAAAAAAGTTGAAGAGACCTCTAATGCTCTGCTTTGATAATGAATAATGTATTTCTTGGATATTGTGATAAGAACAGAGTAAAACAGTTCTCCTATAGCACAAGCAGCTAATGTACTTGCTGATCTACTTACACTACATCATGCTGTATAGAGGTACAATGATTTTTAGTCAGACTTCATGAAAAATAGTTTTTCATTTTGGGAAATCTGTTTACTGCACATAACTGCTCTTTACCCTGGCAGATAAGCCAATACTATTAGCAGTCATCCAGCAAAATGAACAAATTGCTGTCTTAACAGGTATACAAAAAATCACTACTTTTAAAAATACATATAGACTTGGAGCTCAGTTCTGTATTCCACATAAAATGTTGCATAGAAGGCTTCCGCAGAAGAAGCATGGAACTGGGCTATTAAGTCAATACATAAAACTGAGAAGGACTATTTTGTTTCCTTTGGCTTGTTTAGGGAGAGATAATGTATCTGTTTTCTATTTAAGGCTCTGCTTTATGTATTTATTTATTTATATATATATATATATGTTCATTGATAAATCAGATTGTCTTCTCCTTAAATGAATAGTAGGTCTTGCTGGTTAACACAGAAGTATGGCCTCTATGCACTTGGCCAGTGTTCCATAATTATACTTCTCTCAATCATGGAGTAACTGGAAGTGCATGTTTAACTCAAATCAGCAATCATATTTTGATATCTGTCTGGTAGTGTTCTACTTTGAACTGTTTTCCACTTTCTTTCATAAAATATGAGTGCAGCTAATCTTTAAATAAAAAGGGCCTAAGTCTGCACTTCTTCCATGCCTAAAACTTTGGCTGAAGATCCCTTCTCTTAAGCTGACAATTGTCTTTTACAGTCTCTTGTACCAAATACAGAAATGTTGATTTATAAAACACTGATTAACATTTTTTTGCTGCCATGTGTTCACTATATTGCAGGTGCACCTAGGAAGGAAGTATACTTTATGGCTATTATTGACATTCTTACTCATTATGATGCAAAAAAGAAAGCAGCTCATGCAGCAAAAACTGTTAAGCATGGCGTAAGTATGTGTTTTGCTTCCTCTAGTTCCACTGCTGTTTCTGAATGCTTGTTATATAATGGCCCAATATAACATTTTAGACTTATGGAAGAGCACAATATAGATAATGTTTGTTTTTCAATTATGCTAATTAAACATATAAATATTTTACAAACTACAGTACTGTCATATGTATTTAATATTAGAGTAAAAGTGCCTTCTTAGCTCATCTGTAGTGTTCTTTACAGGTGAACACTATTATAGATACCAGAGTACTTTTATTTCCTTTCCAGGTATTGTATTTCTAAGACATTTTGAGGTGTATAGCACTACACACCCGGATACATTCATTTCATAGTGTGACATTTGTTTATCACAGTTTGTTGGTCCCTTAGAGGACATTCTAGTGTACAACCAAAAATAAAAACCATTTCTGACTGACATTGGGGCATCAAATTCTCTTTAAAAAAATAAAATCCACAATTCCAAATGCTGATAAACTTAGTATAGTGTACTGATTTTTTTTCCAAATAGCTAACACTTAAAACTTTGTAACCAAGTTAAAGAAAAAGTCTGTCAGACCTGAATAACCTACTATTACTGCAAATGATCCATAGCATGAGGCAACGTTTGTTTGCCAAGAATGGAAGAAAAACCAACCTCACACCTTGATTATGTGAATGGTTTGAGCAAATGTTTTTGGCCAGAAGGAATTCATTTATCTCTCTCTAAAATGGCTAAATACAAAGAGGATCTCTACTGGGTCCTGCAAATAAATCTATATAGTACGTGCTTATGCTCATATCCTGGCTCTATGAAAGTCCATCATGGATTTCATTTCAGAAAAGCTGGGGCCTAATGACTGTTTCACTTTCTGGACCAACCTGCTGAGAGCTTATACTATAAAGTATAATATGACTTGCTTTGTACGGCTTCTTTAAAAAAAAATTACTATTTGAAAAACATGAAAAACCTAAAAGGTACTGCCTAGTAAGCATTTTGAGAACCTTCATCAAAGACAGCTTTTTACATGTTAGTTGTTGTTGCAGATACAGAAACAGGACTGTGGCTATCTTATGCTGTTAACTGTAGGAACAACAGAGTCAAGATAAAAATAGGAAAGTCTCTCCATGAGATAAGGAATTTTTCCTTCTGTCATTATTGTGGGTCACCATTCAAATACATGAATAACTTTAAACAACTTTACTCATCTGGGCTCATTCAGGTTAAGTTGCTTACATGTACAGGATCAGGCCCTTATTTTTCTTTTAACAAAATAAATTTGTATTACTTCACTGTTCCAAGTTGCTTTACAATTCTCAACAATAAATCCTATTTATGAATTTGGAAAGGTATCATTTTTGCCATACACTACCAAGACAGCTGAAAGTGGAGGCAGCCCTTCTACAGTCATTAGCTGGCAATTACTAATGGACTTTAAATGTAGTCAGCATGTAAATCACACCTCTGCCTGAAATATTTTTTATCTACTATTGTTATTAGCAACAGCTAACATTACTACAGCTAGAAGAGATTAGAAAATGTATTTGCAGTTTACTTTGTTCATTTGACAGCACTTAATGCATAATCAGTTTCACTGCTTGTACGCTGATCCACCTCTCGCTGAACTCAATGGGAGGTTTTCCACTGATTGCCACAAGTTTTCCCATGTGTAAAATAAAGCTAACACTATCCACATGTGTGCAGAGGGGCTTTTAAAAAGGGCTTCTGCTGAAAAACAGTAGTGAAATTCTGAGTCTGTTGGTCAGCTGGTATTTCAGTGGGCCCAGGATGTAAATATATGCATATGTGAGAAAGTGTTACTGTTATCAAGCTGATTTTGTCTTTTAAAGATAAAGTGGCCATTCAGAGAGCTTTATATATGTTAAACAAACAGAAATCCATGTCCTAACCCATGGCCATCTCTTATGTGAAGGACACTTGAAAGAAACCTGCAGTGTGAAATAATTATATGCTGGGAAATGGAAGGCATTTTAAGGTACGATAAAATATTCTCCAAAAATGGAATGACTGATCTTGCAATTATGCCAGTAGTAGCTATAGTCACTCCCAACACAAACTCCCATTGACATCAGCAGGGGTACCTATATGTGTCCACCTAACTTTGTGAAGTATCAGTAAGGAATTTGTAAGCAACTATTTACACACGCAAACACTAAAAATAACACTGCTTTCACCCTCCCCCTTATTTTTTAATTCTCTGTCTAGGCTGGTGCAGAGATTTCAACAGTTAACCCCGAACAGTATTCAAAGCGCTTCTTGGACTTTATTGCCAACATCTTGACGTAACCTATCACATTAAATAAGACAGACACAAGACCTGGGGACAGCAGCAGTGGCTACAAGAATAAGGGGGGGAAAAGGAACTCAGAGAAGTGTTCATCTTGCAGAAAGCAACCCCATTGTTTACATCTGCTGGCAAAGATGACCGCTACAGGGTGGAATATTTGCTTTAACAGCTGCCTGATATTCCCAGCATAGTTCTAGCTATTTCTGACTTTTTGTGTGTGCAAAAAAAATAAAAATATTAATTAATTAATTAATTAAATAGCTCAGCTTTACTCAGAGTGCACTGCGAAGGCAACATTCTGATGCTACTAGCTGACTTGGAATGAATGAGCAAAGAGGTGTGGGGTGGGGGTGGGGGAGGAGTAAATGCATGTTAAATTTACAATATTGGTATCAAATTGTAAACTGTGGATCAGTTTATTTTTTGAACTGAAAGGATGCAAGACAGTATTCATGATGATGATGATGATAATAATTATAGAAACCTTACTGAGAATGTGTTACACTTATACCCTGCACGCTGGCACTCCTTAAAAAATAGCTGCAACGTTAAGCTCTTGGTGCCGGAAGCTTTTCCTGTTAGCTCCCTAGCTCTATTGCTGCTTTTTTATTTTCTTTGCATCAGCACATTGCATCAGGAAATCCAGACTCCGAAGCGTCAAAGAGCTAATGTCTCTTGTCTTACAAGGAGCTAATGCCATATTCATGCTGTGTATGTTTTTGCTACAGCGAATTAATGTCGAGGGAAAACCCTGCTTATTTCACTTTTATTACCTGAAGTTTTTTCATTGTTTTATATTCTTGCAATATAGGAACTAATCATGTTACAAGGGGGAAAAAGCTTATTGGAAGAAGTGCATAGTTTTGGGCAATAGTAGCTACATTTTTCAGCACAGGAAAGTGCACGCAATGATAGAAATCTCTACCCTCCTGTAATTTAATGATAATCTGAAGTTTAAATGCTTATGTTGTACTTTTTAAACAGTGGTATTTTATTATAAATTATCCCTCTAAAAATCAACCCTGAATTTTACTGTTTACATTATTATTAGGAAAACAGGGATACTTTTGAATTTCAGAGTTTGTGTACAGTATGTGATTTTTGAAGTTTACATGTAAAGTTTATTTTGCAGTACAGATGAGGTAATCTGTCATCTTTCAAGGTGTAACATGCAGTAGTGTACTAAAGTGAACGTCTCATTCACCTCCATGGTAGAATCTCTTTTACAATAAATGGAGAAAAATTGTTTGAGGTTTTTCAGATGTTCTTTTTATCATCTTAAATTACTTGTTTTACTGTTTACCTAATTTGATTGTATGATACATTGCCTAAAGCTGTGTTGATCATGTTTATTTTAACCTGTTAACAATTTAAACAAATATATTGTATTTACATTCTTTTTTCCTGTATCTTCCTGAACAGTTCCAAGCTTAAAAGAGACTAAATTAGAAATGCTTAAAGTTTATTACCTACTTATACACTGTGCTAAAGCTGTGCCTTTAAAAGTCTTTGTTGAAACAGTTAGATTTTGTAGGCAATTTAAAAACAAAATCACACCTTCCCACCATAATTTATAACTTAAACCCAGGAGTGCCAGGATGCCTTCTCCAATAACTTAATGTCAGTGCTATTAAGACTGCAACTGTGCATAATGTATGTAGTGCTTACTTCAGAGAAATCTATTTAAATAGCTGCAAATCATGATATCTTCAGCAGCCAGTGGCAATACCTCCTTTATTGCTGTATACAATTTTTTCCCTTATGGTTTTATCATCTTTGACTTGGTAATGTTAGCAGTACTGTAATGTATGTGTACAATTTGTATTTGTATGTATTTAAATAAGTTGATACTGTGGCTTGATTTTTTTTTTTTTTTTTGTCTCCCACTCTACCCCAGCCTCCCAGGTTAACTCTGGTATCACACACGTTTGTTTTTTGAGGTATGCAGTGGCTTCTAAAGGTACGTTTGTTTTTTGAGGTATGCAGTGGCTTCTCATGGGATGAGACTGCAGAGAGACCCTGAAGTAAAAAGGAGATACACATACATTGTTCAAGCAAATATTTAATTGTGGCCAATTAGCATATGCTTTTTAGAAGCTTACAACAAAGCTTTCTTTTTGTCTGTAACAGTCTTTGTCACTCATTCTTGTTGATAAACATTATTTGGACAGGTGAGGAAGACTCACATTGTATATCTTAGTGCTTAGACTACACTCCAGACATGAGCAAGGCTTTATAAAATAAAGCACTTTGATGACTTACTAGGTAAATCCTTTGTTCCTGTGTTGCGACTGTGCTTTTGATCACTTGCGAATGAATTTTGGATACAATGAACGTGTAACCTATATCTCAAAGAAACAAATAAGAACTAAAGATTCTTCATTATTCTGCAGCCTTTCTCTCCCCCCACCCACATTTGCCCTAAGTGGTTTGAAAGGTTTTTTTGCCTTTGCCTCTTCATGCTTACATGTAATTTTGGAGGTAACCGAACGTGCGCTCTGACAGCAAATATGAAGATTTGTTGGTAGCGATTCTGTGCAGTAACATTAAGGTTTAATACAAAATTGAAACTTACTCTGCAGCATCTTATTTGCAAGGGGATTGACAGAAGAACTTTCATAAATAATATAACACCTCAGCCAAACCCATTATTAAAAAGTACTCAGAAGTAGGTTAGAATAATTCTGGCAGTTATAGACAAAAAACCTTTTGTATTCTGCCATTACAAGGCTTTGATTGTCAGGGCTTTCAACACATGATGTTGTCTGTGCTGTGTGCTTGTTTCACTCACAATACTATAGGGGCTACAATGCCAGGGTGGCACCAAAAGGCAGAGCAAAGGCCTAATTCACAATGTCCTTTCTTTGATTTTGAGTGAGTCCTACTGCTGCTTTAATGTATTTTGCTCTGTTAATTTCCTTCTTTTTGATTTTTTTTTAGAATGGTAACAAGATAGTGTTATGAATTTTTTGCTTAAAGAATCTACATGATAAATGGTATTACAATGTATGTTTTTCTCGTGAAGAACAACTCTTGTAACATCATTCTGTTAAGTGGTGTGTGGGGGAATCAGCTCCTTAGTTATCTAACTAACCCATAAGCAAACTGTCCAATTACAGGTGCTGCTGTATCCCTAGTATGGCTCTCCCCATGCCTTTTCCACAGGTACCTGTACAACTGTCTGTTTTTTCAGTATGGAGTTGGTGCTAGAAGATGTGCAGCACAGGGTAAATTGAGACTAGAGGTGGAACATGGTGAGTAAGCACCCCTGGCCAGTTCTGATAGTATGTCTTCTCCTAACTTGTGATATTCCTTTTTTCAGTAAGCCACCAGGCTGTGGCCTGGCTCTGTATTATGGATATATACCTACTTACCAGTATTAAGAGATGTGAAAGTATAATTTCTCTGGCAACACAAGTTTGAACACAAGTTTTCAAAGGCAAAAGCAACTTGTACAATGCTAGCAGCCAAAGCCTAGTAGGTACTGATGTCCAAACACAGAACAGAGTCCTTGCCTGAAGGAAGTTACAGTCTAAAAGCCTATGCTGGCTACCATGTGCCAGCAGGCTGTTTAATGAAATATTCAGCAAGCAAAGGCTTGCTCACTGTTTCTAACTTTTTAGTGGTGCTATACATTCTTACTCCAAGCTTCTGGAACTAGCTCCAGCTGGATTTTCCAATCAGTATTCTGTGTTAGGATCCTTTAGTGGAAGTGTGTTCCTCTTTGATTCAGTGAAATTACTCCAGTAGCCCATTAGAACAGTATTCTATTTTAATTATCATTTCAGTCTTCCTTCTGGACCCACCTGTCTGCAGTTCTCCTCAAGGCTTTTAAGACTTTTAGTTTGCAGGGCCCCTGGCATGGCTCTACGAGCGATCGTGGTGCTTGGGCCAGGTGCCAGACGATTGGAAGGTAGCTAATGTGGTCCCCATCTTCAAGAAAGGGAAAAGGGAGGCCCCGGGCAACTATAGGCCTGTCAGTCTTACCTCAATCCTGGGGAAACTCTTTGAGAAGATCATCAAGGAGCACATTTGTGATGGGCTGGCATCAGAAATGATGCTCAGGGGCAATCAGCATGGATTTATTAGGGGGAGATCATGTCAGACCAACCTGATCGCCTTTTATGATCAGGTCACAAAGGCCATGGACGCAGGTGTCGCGGTGGATGCAGTCTTTCTGGACTTCAGCAAGGCCTTTGACACCGTCTCTCACCCCATCCTAATTAATAAACTAGGCGACTGTGGCATAGATGCCTACACGGTCAGATGGATTGCAGATTGGCTGAAGGGGCACACTCAGAGGGTGGTGGTGGATGGATCATACTCGACTTGGGGGGAGGTGGGTAGTGGAGTCCCCCAGGGCTCGATCCTGGGGCCTGCGCTGTTCAATGTCTTCATCAGCGATCTTGATGTTGGGGTGGAAAGCAACCTGTTTAAATTCGCTGATGACACCAAAATTTGGGGGGAGGTGAGCACGCTAGCAGGGAGAGAGAGATTGCAGAAGGATCTGGATAGGGTACAGGGGTGGGCAAACAGGAACAGGATGTGTTTCAATACAGACAAGTGCAGGGTGCTGCACTTGGGTAGTAGGAACCAGCAGCACACTTATACGATGGGGAACTCCCTACTTGAGAGCACGGAGGCGGAAAGGGATCTTGGTGTCATTATTGACTCCAAGCTGAACATGGGCCGACAATGCGAGGTCATGGTTGGCAGGGCTAACAGGACCTTGTCGTGCATCCACAGGTGCATCTCAAGTAGAGCCAGGGAGGTGATCCTCCCCCTCTATGCGACGCTGGTCAGGCCGCAGCTGGAGGATTGTGTCCAGTTCTGTGCGCCCCATTTCAGGAGGGATGTGGACAACATGGAGAGGGTCCAGAGGAGGGCCACCTGCATGATCCGGGGACAACAGGGCAGACCCTACAGTGAGAGACTGCGGGGCCTGAACCTATTCAGCCTCCACAAGAGAAGGCTGAGGGGGGACCTGGTGACCGTCTATAAACTCACTAGGGGGAACCAGAAGGGTTTGGGGGAGACGCTGGTTCCCCTAGCCCCCGCTGGCATAACAAGGAGTAATGGGCACAAGTTGATGGAGAGGAGGGACAGATTGGACATCCGAAAAAACTACTTCACAGTTAGGGCGGCTAGGAGCTGGAACCAACTTCCAAGGGAGGTGGGGCTGGCCCCTACCCTGGGGGTCTTTAAGAAGAGGCTGGATACTTACCTGGCTGGGCTCATTTGAGTCCCGTTTTTGTTTTTAGGGGTTTTTTGTTTTTTTTTTTTTTTGGGTTGTTCTCCCGCCCTGGCGGGGGGTCGGGCTGGAAGATCTATTAGGGCCCTTCCGACCCTAAAACTATGAAACTATGACTCAACCAGGCCTCTATCACAACCTCTGAACAATTTTTCCACTCCTCTCTCAATACAGGGACACCCACAAATCTGCCCCACACTGTGTCCAGTTGTTGTCTGCATCCTGTTAAAAAAAAAATAAAATAAAAAATCCATGGCCATGCCCCTTGTATACACAAAGGATTCCACACCCCAGACCCCTGTTGTAAACTGCTGTTGAGTTCTCAAGCAGCTGAAGAAGGAAATGGCCTTATATTTATATTTTTTTGGTATATGTATCAACCAGGGAGGGGCAGAATGTCATTTTTCAAGTAGACTTCTTGTGTTCACTTTCATTTGCTTGTTTGAATGGAACGTGCGTGAATGTTAGTTATATCCAAAGTATATGTTTTACTTGCTGCACCAATGCAACATCTAAAGGAATTTTAAAGCTCACAAGTTTGTTGGAAACTATGATCAAAATGTAATCACAATTTATCTGAAATTGAGCTCAGCTCCAGCCTACCTCCTTTTTTGCTGAAAGCTAGGCAGCTTGGCAGGGGCCTGTACCAAAAGAAATAATTGCTTTCTCATCTGTTACTTCTCATATTCCTCTCTTACCCAAAATAGTTCATCGTTTTCCTAAGGCTCCTAAAGATAAAGTTCCTGGTTTATCTTGATTTTTTTTCTGAAATGTCCCTAAGCATGTGTAAAGGGGGGAGGTGTGCACCTACTTTCAGATAAGGGAGGAATTGTCTTCATGTCTCCTGCTTCCTGTGGGTGAAATGCTAACCTCGGGTTAAGGTGTAGTGTTTTTCTCCTGATTTATAGGCTACCTTTGCCTTTTGGTTGGAAGTATAACTATGGCACAGGTAGGTCCAGTTGAGTATTATTGGTAATAAGACTACAGCAACACAACCATCAGTTTGGCCTGCAAGATGAGCCAAAATCACAGGTGAGCTTGTACACCCTGTGCTGGAACCTAGGCCACAATTCAGTGCTGTTGGTACCTGCATTAGCCAAAGACAGCTTGGGGATTCCTACACATGCTGACATCCTTCTCCTAAATGTGTAGCATGGGCCATCCTCAGGTGAGTGGA